GAACTCGTGTAACTCCACCCCTGCCATCCCGATGGTAACTAACTCCACCGCATCCCGGATGGGAACTAACTTCACCGCCATCCAATGGGTGAATGCCTAACTAAACTATCCGCATCCCGATGAAATGGAACTGTGTTAACTCCACCCGGCGGTCCCGAGTGGTGAACTAGGCGGCACCACAAACACACACATAAGTGAACTAAACAACACACAACAGAACACAACACCGATAAGGAACTAACTCACAAACACAGCGTCCCGATGGAACTGGTACTAACACCGCATCCCGATGGTAACTAACTCCACCGCATCCCCGATGGTGACACGTGACTCCCACCGATCCCGATGGCTGAAACCTAACTCCACCGCATCCCGATGGCGAACTGCCCTAACTCGTACCACATCCCGATGCGTGAACTAACCCACGCATCCCGAATGGTGAACTGCCTAACTCCACCACATCCCGATGGTGAACTAACTCCACCGCATCCCGATGGTGAACTAACTCCACCGCATCCCGATGGTGAACTGCCTACCTCCACCGCATCCCGATGGTGAACTGCCTACCTCCACCGCATCCCAATGGTGAACTAACTACACCGCATCCCGATGGTGAACTAACTACACCGCATCCCGATGGTGAACTGCCTAACTCCACCACATCCCGATGGTGAACTACACCGCATCCCGATGGTGAACTAACTCCACCGCGTCCCGATGGTGAACTAACTCCACCGCGTCCCGATGGTGAACTAACTCCACCGCATCCCGATGGAGAACTACTTAATGATATTGTCCCTGGGTACACACTGGGTATGGCTCCTGCAGTGATGGGCCGCTCACAGCTATGGCCCTTTTGGCACAACCATTGTTCCTTCTTGTCCTGGAAACAAGGATCTGAGAGAGACCGTCTGTCCATCCTAAAATCAGGATGTTTGGTTTCCTGTTGTTGAGTTGGAGTCATTCGCAGAGTCTGATCAGTCCCTAGGAGACGCGTGATCTGCAGACATTTCCCTCCATCTCTGGGTTGCATTTTTCTCTCTGTTGATGGTGTCCTTTGATGCGTGAGAACAGCCTTTGATGGGCATTAGGGGGTGGTCAGGCAGAAGGATGGCGTGGGTGGAAGCGCTGATGCCTGAAGAAGGGTGCCGTAGGCAAAGTGACCCGCGGGGTTGGCTTGCACGGGTAGGCGCCACACGGAGAGACAGATGGGCACAGACACACACAGGCACACTGTGCAGGCGTGCTCTGTGGGAGGGTGTCACTGATGTTTAAAAAGTGCCCGTTTCCAAGCCCCTTGGAGAAAGTGTCATAAAAAGACAAAACATGAATGATGTTTCTAAGGTGGGGGAAGGGGGCTGAGCCCTAAAGGTAGAAGCTTCTGGAAAGTTTCCAGAGGGCCCAGAGCCTGTTTAAGATGTTGTGCCTGCCTTAAGTGTCCAGAACTGTCTGTTACTTTTGATTTGTCTTGGACTGACCTTTTCCCATAAAACTGTAAGAAATTAAAAGTAATGATGTGATGTGGGCCAGGCGCAGTGGCTCACGCCTGTAATCCCAGTTCTTTGGGAGGCCGAGGCGGGTGGATCACCTAAAGTCAGGAATTTGTGACCAGCCTGGCCAACATGGTGAAACCCTGTCTCTACTAAAATTACAAAAAGTAGCCGGCCTTGGTGAGAGGCACCTATAGTCCCAGCTACTTGGGAGGCTGAAGTGGGAGAATCGCTTGAACCCAGGAGGTGGAGTTTGTAGTGAGCCGAGATCGCGCCACTGCACTCCAGCCTGGGCAACAGAGCGAAACTCCGTCTCAAAAAACAGAACAAAACAAAACAAAAAACAACAAAAAAAACGCTGGGCACGGTGGCTCATGCCTGTATCCCAGCACTTTGGGAAGCCGAGGCAGGCAGATCATGAGGTCAGGAGATCGAGACCCTCCTGGAACATGGTGAAACCGTGTCCCTACTAAAAATATAAAAAAACTAGCCGGGCGTGGTGGCGGCGCCTGGAGTCCCAGCTACTCGGGAGGCTGAGGCAGGAGAATGGTGTGAACCCGGGAGGCGGAGCTTGCAGTGAGCAGAGATGGGCCACTGCACTCCAGCCTGGGTGACTGAGCGAGACTCCGTCTCCAAAAACAAAACAAATGTGGCACGCAGGCTGGTGGCTGGCTGAGGTCAGTCCAGAGAAGCAGCATTTTATTTATTTATTTATTTATTGAGCTCTGTTGCCCGGGCGAGAGTGCAATGGCGTGATCTTGGCTCACTGCAAGCTCTGCCTCCCAGCTTCAAGTGATTCTCCTGCTTCAGCCTCCCAAGTAGCTGGGATTAAAGGCACCCGCCACCGTGCCCAGCTAATTTTTTGTATTTTTAGTAGAGACAGAGTTTCACTATGTTGGCCAGGCTGCTCTCAAACTCCTGATCGCATGATCTGCCCGCTTCGGCTTCCCAAAGTGCTGGGATTACAGGCGTGAGCCACCACACCCGGCCAGAAGCATCATTTTTAAACTTGCTTGGCCCTCCCTAACACCAAACTTGTCGGTTCCTGGGCTGTAGCAAGCCAAGACTGGGAAATAAATTCACCTTTGAGAATTCAACCTCAAAATGCATACGAAGTAGGTCAGGGTGGAAATAAGGCACTGCCCTTTCTCCAGGCACGCTGGAGTCCACACCCTGCCTTTGCCCAGTGTCCTCTGAGGGAGAGGCCCTGTGCCTTGCACCCAGCGCAGCCCACAGAGGGAGGCCCTGTTCCGGGCAAGCCGTGCCCACGAAGAGGCTGGCCTGCTGGGCTGTGGGGCCCGATGGCCTGACCCTGTTCTGACCACGCTCCTGCCCTGCCCTGCCCGTGGCCCGTGTGCAGAAGTGGGCAGGCCTGGTTTGCTGGGCCGGAGCCCCCAGATTGCCCCCTGCCCCACTGACTGAGTGTGGGGGACCTGCTTCTCCACTTCCTCCACATAGGGCTCGGCCCTGGGTGGCTGGTGGCCGAGGCTAGTCTGGTGGGCGCTCACTCCAAATGGTGCGTCCCCTCAGCGCCCTGTGCTTCCTCGCAGGGATCGACTACAAGACCACCACCATCCTGCTGGACGGCCGGCGCGTGAAGCTGGAGCTCTGGTGAGTCGGGGCTGCGGCACTTCAGTTCCTGGCTGGGGACACGAATGCCGCTGGGAGAACAGAACCTTCAGAGGAGCAGGAAAACGTCCTGTGCACATTTCACATGGGGGAGCCCCTCACAGCCCCTGTGTGAACACAGAATGGGTTTTGCTCCGAGAGGCAAACAGTCTGGGTACTGTGTCCCGAGAGATCCCAGCTTCCCTTCTGCCCTGGAAGACCTGATTCCATGGTGGCTGTGGCCCTTCCCTCCCGCTTCTGCCGGCTTCACCTTAAAGAGCATTTCCCAGCCAGGCGGTGGCCCAGCCTATCATCCCAGCACTGTGGGGGCCGAGGAGGGTGGATCACCTGAGGTCAGGAGTCCGGGATCAGCCTGGCCAAGATGGTGAAACCCCATCTCTACCAAAAATACAAAAATTGGGCTGGGCACAGTGGCTCACGCCTGTAATCCCAGCACTTTGGGAGGCTGAGGCGGGCGGATCACAAGGTCAGATCGAGACCATCCTGGCTAACACGGTGAAACCCCGTCTCCACTAAAAATACAAAAAATTAGTCGGACGTGGTGACGGGCACCTGTAGTCCCAGCTACTTGGGAGGCTAAGGCAGGAGAATGGCATGAACCCAGGAGGCGGAGCTTGCAGTGAGCCGAGATCACACTATTGCACTCCAGCCTGGGTGACAAAACAAGACTCTGTCTCAAAAAAACTAAAAAATAAAAATTGGCCGGGCGTACTGGCTTATGCCTATAATCCTAGCACTTTGGGAGGCTGAGGCGGGTGGATCACCTGAGGTCAGGAGTTGGAGACCAGCCTGGCCACCAAAAATACAAAAATTAGCCAGGTGTGGTGGCAGGCACCTGTAGTCCCAGCCACTCAGGAGGCTGAGGCAGGAGAATCACTTGAACCCGGGAGGCAGAGCTTGCAGTGAGCTGAGATCGCACCACTGCACTCCAGCCTGGGTGACAGAACGAGACTCCGTCTCAAAACAAAAGCATTTCCCAGAACGTCAGCGTTGATGAGACGTCAGTGTCCACAGGGTTGGGGTTCCCCAGCCTGGCAGGACAGTCTCCTGGAGCTCCCAGGCTCCTGTGGAGGCCTGCTCACTCACCAGGTGGGCGGAGGCCCTTCTGCTGCCTGCTTGACTCAGCAGCACGGCGCCAGGCTGCTGTGACCTGTGCAGACAAAGTCTCTTAGCACAGCCCCATTGGCACCTGTCCTGGCCACCCCGCTGCCCTCAGGACATCCAGGTGGGTCTGCAGAGGAGGGCAGGAGGCGAGCCTCTCCCGGGGACCACAGTGCAGGCGCTGAGGCTGCGTGGCCCCCGTCCCAGCCCCTCCCCTCCCTGTGTGTTTCAGGGACACGTCGGGCCAGGGCCGGTTCTGCACCATCTTCAGGTCCTACTCCAGAGGCGCCCAGGTAAGGCCAGCACCACTCTTCCTGCTGCTTTCCAAAAGATGTTTCTCCTGATTGTTTCTGAATGTGAGTTCTCCTGTCAAACCCCCAAGCACTTTCTCTCTTTGTAAGGATATTTTCACGTTTGTTTGTTTGTTTGTTTGTTTTGAGATGCAGCCTCACTCTGTCACCCAGGCTGGAGTGCAGTGGCACAATCTCAGCTTACTGCAGCCTCCCCAGTAGCTGGGATTACAGGCATGGTGGGTGTACTTGGGGCCATGTGTGTGTGCACAGGTGCAGTGGATGCACTCAGGGCCGTGTGTGTGCAGGCGTGTGCACGGGTGTGGCGGGGGCACCGGCTCGGCCGCCCTCGTTTGTGTCTCTGGGCCCCCAGCACACTTTTGTGCTGACTGGATCTGCTGGTGAATGTGAGGCCGGAAGGAGGCGAAGGACGTAAAGCGCATGTGAACAGACCTGTCATGGCCACTGTTGTTGCTGCTTCAGTGAGAGGGATTCGAGCAGGTCCGTCCCATCTGTGATGCCCCTAAGATTTCTGGAAGAGCCAGGGGAGACCCTCCGGGGCCACGTCCTTAGCCTGGAGCCCCCCATGTGGGCCCAGGGAGGTGGCCTGGGTCTGAGGTCTGGATCCTTTGGGGGCGAAGGTTCAGGTCTGCACCAGGCAGCTTCTGGCTCAGGTGGGTCCCGTCTGGGCAGGAAGCTGCCCCAGGTGAGACGGGGACGGACACTGGAGTTTCATTCCCCGGCAAACTCATTTCCTTCCGTTTCTACACTGAAGTGTAGTCCATGTCAGCTCTGCTGTCTTCTACCTGCTGATGGTGGGTGGGAAGGACCCCGGGGTGGGATGGGTAGCACCCTGTCCCGGGAGTTCCCTCAGAGATGTTGGCGACTCCCTCGTGGGAGCAGAAGGGCCAGCAGGCTCTGTGCCATCCCTGTGAGAAGTGGAGTGACATGGCCGTGACGCACGGAGCTGGCAGGTGGAAGACAGGCAGGCTCAAGGGTGTGTTCCACGGGCCCTGCTTGCTATTAAAACAGGAGCCGGGGCCGGGCGCAGTGCCTCACGCCTGTAATCCCAGCACTTTAGGAGGCCAACGCAGGCGGATCAGGCGGATCACAAGGTCAGGAGTTCAAGACCAGCCTGACCAACATGGTGAAACCCCGTCTCTACCAAAAATACAAAAATTAGCCAGGCGTGGTGGCACGCGCCTATAATCCCAGCTACTCAGGAGGCTGAGGCAGGAGAATTGCTTGAACCCAGGAGGCGGAGGTTGCAGTGAGCTGAGATTGTGCGCTGCACTCTAGCCGGCGATAAGAGTGGAGACTCCAATCCTCATAAAAAAAAAAGGAGGGAGGTGTTGGGTGATTTACATCTACAAAAACGCCTGTCTTGGGCTTTCCTTTTAAGTTCACGTGATTTTTCTACAAAGACACATATACTATTTTGGTATTAAAAAATATGGGGAGCGCTGGTTATCTGGATCGACAATAGGGTATTGTTAATGGGGAGATTCCTGGATAAAGCAGCCGGGAGCTGAACCTGACAGGACATCCCAACCTCCCCCTCTGACAGGCTCCACCTGGGCATCCCACCTCCCACTGACAGGTCCACCCCGGGCCTCCCAGCCCAACCCATAGCAAGCTCACCCACAGGCATCCCAGCCCACCCACGAGGCTCCACCCGGGTATCCCCAGCCCCCCCCGACAGGGCTCCACCCCGGCATCCCAAGCCCCCGCCGACAGGCTCCATCCCGGGTATCCCAGCCCCCCCCAACAGGCTCCACCGCGGGCATCCCAGCCCCCCTGATGGGGCTCCACTGCAGGCGTTCCAGCTCCCACACTGGGAGGTCCGTGGGACATGAGGGCCAGCACAGTCATGATTTCTGTTCAACTGCATGAGAACTTAAAAAAAAAAAGCAGTTCACAAGCTCTGCATTTGCCAGGCTGAGGTTCTGGAAAGCAAGCTCTGTTATCATCTCTGTGTTCTTTCCAAAGCATCTGGCACAACCGGTTATGTGTTTGTTTTGCCTTGTTAATTCTGGAAGTTCTTAGCTGTCATTTTCCACATGAGAGGAGCAGGTTACAGACGCAGGTGCACATGTTGGTCCTGGGTTGAGGGTGCCAGGCGCTTCCTTGCCCTAGGAGAAGCACCTGAGCCTCAAGGCGGGCCTCTGGCTGCCGTGACTGAGCATTTGGGCCACCCCGGGAGCCCAGCCCTGTCCTGTGTCTCTCCTGCCTGGTGAGCAGCGGTGAGGTGAGGTGCATCCAGCCGAGGTGCAGAGCCTGCGTTTGCAGCAGGGTTTCTCCCGCCGCCCCGATGAGACACAGACTAGCAAGGACTGTCTGTCCCAGCTGGGATTTGTCACTCTGCTGCCCTCTGTTAAGAGTGGAGAGGCCTGGCCGGGCGCGGTGGCTCAAGCCTGTAATCCCAGCACTTTGGGAGGCCGAGATGGGCAGATCACAAGGTCAGAAGATCGAGACCATCCTGGCTAACACAGCGAAACCCCGTCTCTACTAAAAGAAAAAAAAAAAAAAGAGTGGAGAGGCCTGGCAGGTCCCTACAGCCTGGGTCTTGCAGATGGTACCAGCAAAGGCCACTGGCCACTCCCTGCTGCCGTCACCTGTCTCACAGCAGCAGCCCCATGGCTCTTTGCATGAGGCCCTTCACGTGCCGCCAGAGGCCAGGCTTCCTAGGCTTTGTGGTTGCGTTTGCATGTTGTGTTGCTGTGATCTGAGGCAGCCCCTCTCAGAAGCAGGTGCCACCCACTGGTGGGATGAGCGAGTCACCCAGGTGCAGGTCCCTTGGTGTGTGGAGGGTGGGGCAGGCTCCTTGTAGCTGCAGTGTGGTTGACGGGACGAGCTGTCCCGTTTGGCTGAGAATTTGGGGTCAGCGGGCTTAGCACCAGGAAGGGGGGGGCCAAGTGCCGTGTCTCCGTCAGGATAGAGGTGTGGGTTTGTTCCCTGAGAAGGGGTTTATGTGGAGAGTGGTACGGAAGCCACGCATGCTGCTGGCTTGTTGGCACACAGGCGGGCGGGTGGCCGTGAATGGGCACGGCTTGGCAGTAGCTCCCACTTTACATGTCAGTTGCTCCTGGGCAGAGCCTGGGTGCAGGGATGCAGGCAGGAGGGCTCCACTCTGGCTGGCTGTACCTTGGGAGCTTCAACCACATGGGTGGAAGGGGCATGTGTTTGTCAAAATTCATCAAAATGTTCATACCTCGGATCTTTGTATTTTCGGCTTTGTAAATTACAGCTCAGTAAAAAATGATAGCATAAAGGGCACCCACTCTTAGGCCCGGCAGTTCTACTTCTGGGAATTTATCGTGTAGGTCGAGTTGAACAAAAAAAGTGTAAATGTACTCAGATGTATGTTGCCAACGTTACCCAGGAGCCAGCGCAGTTAACGAGCGGGCGGGAGGGCGGGGTGTGAGCTCAGCGCGTGCTGGTGGGAGCAGCGCAAGTGCCTCGACCCCGCCCCAAGGCGTGAGCGGCACCCTGGACACGCGGAGGAAACTGACTGTGCGGGGCGGCTCCTGGTGGGGCGGCTCCTGGTGGGGCGTAGAGTAGGGGAGGAGCGCGCACTGACTCATCCCCTAGAGCCTCGCTCGTTTTTTCGTTTTGTTTTGTTTTGTTTTGTTTTTTGAGACAGGGTCTCGCTCTGTCACCCAGGCTGGAGTGCAGTGGCGCGATCTCGGCTCACTGTAAGCTCCGCCTCCCGGTCCAAGCGATTCTCCTGCCTCCGCCGCCTGAGTAGCTGGGACTAGGTGTGCACCACGGCGTCCAGCTAATTTTTGTATTTTTAGTAGAGACGTAGAGACGGGGTTTCACCATGTTGGCCAGGATGGTCTGCTTCTCTTGACCTCATGATCCGCCCACCTTGGCCTCCCAAAGTGCCGGGATTGCAGGCGTGAGCCGCCGCGCCCAGCCAAAGTCGCTAGTTTTTAAAAAGTCAGATCATGCCGGGCGCGGTGGCTCACGCCTGCAATCCCAGCACTTTGGGAGGCCAAGGTGGGCGAATCACGAGGTCAGGAGTTCGAGACCAGCCTGACCAACATAGTGAAACCCCGTCTTTACCAAAAATACAAAAATTAGCCAGGCGTGGTGGCGGGCGCCTATAATCCCAGCTACTCAGGAGGCTGAGGCAGAAGAATCGCTTGAACCTGGGAGGCGGAGGTTGCAGTGAGCCGAGATCACACCATTTCACTCCAGCCTGGGTGACACAGCGAGACTCAGTCTGCCAGGCGTGGTGAGCGGGCGCCTAGAATCCCAGCTACTCAGGAGCGCTGAGGCAGAAGAATCGCTTGAACCTGGGAGGCGGAGGGTGCAGTGAGCCGAGATCACCACCATTTCACTCCAGCCTGGGTGACACAGCGAGATCCAGTCTCAAAAAAAAAAAAAAAAAAAAAAAAAAAAATCAGAATGTGTTCGTTAGAAAATAGACGTGGTGGAAGAGTCTGTTTTGCCCCATGCTCTGCCCCTTTGAGACCCGCGGCTGAGGGCGCTAAGAGTGCCGGTTAGGCGGCTTCTGGTCACCAAGAGTCTCCTTTCCTTTCTCACTCCGTGGTCATTTGGTCCCTGTGGCCTCACTGTGACCCGCGCTGGAGCATGCCTCGGGGTCCTCCTGTGTCATCACCACTGCCTGTAAACCCCTGCTCCCTCAGATGTGGCCATCTCAGGAAGTGGGGGCCTCTCAGGGCAGCGGCCGGGAGTGTGGCCAGGCCCCCAGCCTCACAGCACACTTGGAGCCTGAGCCAGCCCATCAGCCAGGAGATGGACCTTCTGCTCTCTTTCTAGAGTTTTCAGTGTCATGGGACAGGGTGTTTGCCACAGAAAAACAGGTCAGCATAAAAAAGTCACCCACTTTTCCAGCTTTTAGCATTTATGTCCATCATAAACTTTTGAGTGTAATGTGTGTGTGTTTATACTTTATTTTTTAAAAATCATGCTGGGCGGGCGCGTGTGGCTCAAGCTGTAATCCCAGCACTTTGGGAGGCCGAGGACGGGCGGAT